TCGATCGTGCGGCGCTTCACTCCGATGTACTTACTGCAACCAGGCCACAACTTCGAAGTTAGGCCTCGCAATCGCAAACGCGAAGCACGAGCGGTTGGGGGCGCGGCCAGACGTACTGGAAGGTGTCGACAAAGCTCCACACCATCATGAAGTCTGCCCACGCCTCCATCGGGACGAATTCTGTGCTCACGGTCTGTCCCTTGGGCGGTGTTGCGGCACCGTGAGCTCGCCCAGCTCCAGCAGCTCGGCCAGCAGCTCCCGGTCGTCCATGGGATAACGCGCACGCAAGGCTGGCGACAGGAGTCAGGAGTGCTCTCTCTGCGCGAGATGACAAGAAGAGCGCATAAAAAATTGAGTGAGTGCGTGACACGTACCAGCGAGGCGTGCCTGCTTGCGCTTGAGCTCTTCCTTCTTTCGCGCCTCCTCTGCTTCGCGGGCCAGTCTTCTCCGTTTCTTTTCCTCCTTCTTCCTCAGCTCCTCGCTGTCTGCAGCTGAAGACTTGCGCTTTCGCCCGTTGCTGGCTCCGTCTCCGGCCTTTGACTGAGTCATGTGTGGAGGGATGAGTGATGAGAGACCGAGCACAGAGCCTATGTCTGAAGGGGCCGGGGCGTAAGCCACGCGAACCTTGAGGCAGGCCTTACAGGTACACAGGCCTTCGCATGCGAGACACACCCACGGGGTGCCCTTGACGGTGCTGAGCTTGATCCCATATTTGTCAAGACAGTCCGCGCAGTAAAAACCTTAGGAGTGGCCATATAGTGAGCAACGTAGGCGCAGAAGAAATAAAGCTTGAAGGTGGTCCGTACTTGCGGCAGTCGCCACATTTCTGATGGTCCGTTGCGGTGGAGGAGAGCTCCTTCTTGCATTGGTGACATAGTCGCCTGCGCCGCCGGATTGAAGTGGAAGACTGAAATGGGGGAGGCACGCTTATTAGCACTCGAAGCCACGCTGCGCGCATGTCTAAGCTGCCGACGAGAAGGTGAAGGTGAGTACGGGAGAGTCGGAAGCGCGTGCGCGGGCCACATCTTTCTCCTTCCGTGGCGACTTTGGCGTGACCGAGCTGCTCTTGGCGGTAAGAACGTCCCGCTAGACGCCCACGGTCAACGAACAAAAAGAAATAGGTGAGTGCGTTGCGGAGGGATGAAGTACCGCCAACGAGCGACGCCAAGTCGCGGGCGGAGTGTACGCGCACCAGCTTTAGGAAGAAGGGAGTGGTCCTATACTCGGGGTAGGCCTCCAGCAGGCCTTTAAGGACCGAGGCTGCCTCCTTAACGACGTAGTCCTCCGTTATGCCGTAGCGAGCGTGCATCTGTGATCCAGGCCCAGCAGGCGTGGCATTAGACGCTGGAGGTGTCGCTGGAGGGGAGGGGTGCCGTGGCACAGGCTTGGTGGTGCAAGCCGTACATGCGCGACCACGTCAGCGTAGGAGACCTTCTTGTCCGCTTCCATGAGGTTATAAATGCCGGTGCACACCTCGAACTTGCGCTGAATGGTGCTAAAGTAGTGCTTGTAGCTGGGTTTCGGCTGCAGCAACTTGTACCTGCGATGAAACGTGTTCAAGATTATTATTATTACCTCATTACCTTGCCGATGACGTGATGTGGCAGGCCGCGGGTTGGCTGTGCGTACCATGCACGCTTGGATTTGAGCCAGAGCAAGGGAGGAGAGCCGTATTCGATGGACCACTCGTCGACCTCAAACACGATTGCCGTGCTGGTTGCTGCTCCTGCAGCGATATCAGCTACAAAAACGACACACAACACACGCACAGACGATCCATTGTGTCAGTGCCATAATGTCGAGAGCTGGCAGCTACGTGAAAAGAAGATGGAGTGCCTTTCTTCTCAGGCGGCAGTAGGGCCAAGCCATAGCCCAAGAGTGCGGCCCTGTCTTCATGTCGTCACGTGCAAGCGTGACTAATGGAAGTACTGATCGACAAAGAGGCTCGCCAACGTACCCAAGTGTTCAAGAGGAACCGGTACAAACTGAACAGCATCACAGAAGTAGAAGTAGTCAAGGATGCGTACGGGAAGGTTGAGCCCGGTCTCGGGGTCAGGGATGATGTCCTCGTTGTAGTAGGCTGGTAGCTTGCTCTCATCTTGATACGTCAGCACCGCCGACACATTGCCAACCGGTGGTGTGCGAGCAGAGGGCACGTGGCCAGTGCTTGTGGACGGCTGTCTCATGGTGTTCAAACAATCAGTGACTTGATTAAAATCACAAAAGCAAGAAAAATGCTGGCAGAAAGTACTGTTGCTGCTGGCTGGTCTCTACGGCCGCCGCCAGGTCGCCTTTTCGTTGTAAGAAGTGGGTCTGGGAAAGATGGTGGAGAGACAAAGATGAAATGATAAATCAAAGCAAATTGAAACTCTCAAATTGGGTACCCTCATCTTCAGAATCAGAAGAAATGATGATACACTCTTGGTCTGGCTCCATGAGT